GACAATATTTCAACAATTTTAGCTTTTAAAGTTATAGAGCGCATGTGTGTTCAGGAACAATATTGACATATTTCATTGATATTATCATTCTACACATTATATCAAAATATTTATCCTGAACACACAAGCGCTCGGTGACTTTTATTTAAAATATCGACGAAATATGTACATTTTTCTGTAAAATTCATAAAAAACTGAAATTTACGTCATATTTGTGACGTCATTACGTACATATGACGTCATTACTTATGAAATTATTCAGTGCTTTGAAGTCAGCATATACTCCCCTGTTTATGGACTTAATTAAATATTACTCCATCAAAGTTTGATTTGGGGGGGCAAATATTGGTTAATACCGCATCAAGTTCTTTTAGAGGCTAAATAGTAAATACATAACATCAAGAATATCCCGCCTTACTGATAGTCCTAAGATAACAGTGAATTTTACTAAAAGTGACCTTGGATGGCAGGACCCCTCCTTGGAAAAACTGATCTATGCAAAATTGGTATGAAAAGTCATTGGTATGATGCTTTAAAAGTCAACAACTCCCTGAGTAAATAGAATGTTCTATGTTAAAGTGATATTTTGATATGGATCCAGTGAGCATTTGTTCCATGAGTTTTGACACAGATTCTCGAACCTGAAATTGTCTGAGCTGATGAACATCACTATAGGTACTGAATATTTAATTTGTATGTATACTTGTATATTAAAAGTACCTGAGGAATAATACATGCATTATGAACTTGGTCTAGTTTAAAAAAAAAACTCTTTTCTGTTGCTCTGTGCCTAAAATAAAAACATTTAATCAAGACATCCAAGATGGTTCAATTTGACTTGTATTGGAGTTTAGGCAGTTCAATTATACTTCTTTAAAATTGTATTCTAATAATGAAATTAAAAAAAAAAAAAGATTTTTTTCTTCTCCAGCTTTTTATCATGCTACATGACACAGCACAAAGTCGTAACTCATAAGTTTGGGAAGGACTCTTCATTCATTTGGGGGAAAATGGTTTGATACAAGTTTTGCATGCTGGTCCAATACATTATCTGGCTTTTTGGAACTGTGTTGTTTAGTGCATATTGATGTTAAAATAGATATTAAATGTGTAGGTGTATAATATTATTAAGCTCAATATGATATCAAAAACTATTTATGTAGGAAAAGAAAGAACTGAATAATCACTGGGAAAGTTATGCTATTTTTTTTTTAAACAAGTATCTTGATAAACCAAGTTTAACATCAACAAAAAAAAACTTATATAATTGTCTCCCCTTTCACTGAAAGTGGGGATACTAAATTTAGGTCTGTGCATCTGTCCGTGTGTCTTTCTGTCTGTCTGTAACACTTTCAAGAAGCCTTTGCATTGAAATTTTACACAGCAACTCTCTGTGGCTCGAGGGAGACCCTTATTGATTTTGTGATCAAAGGGTCAAGGTAATTATGCAATAAATTCTGTATGTTGGAATATTGATTTGTTTTTGAAAAAAAAACACTGTCATAACTTTTATGAGACAGTATTAATAATTTTTCATTGAAATAAAAAGCTACAATCTTGACATAAATCCATAAAATCTAAACTGAAACTGGTTATCTTTGTTTTTAATGATTAATGCATGATTAAACCACGCACGAACAACCTAATTGTATAATTATAACATTGTAAGCACTCGGCTTAACTAACAGAGTTGATTTTGTGAAATGTTGGATTGAAATTTTATCCTTTTCCTTATTCCTTTTTATATCACCCTCTATGATCTCATAGGCATTCCTATTTATCATCTTATACATGTATTCCCTTCTTTGTTACTGTCATATTGTTATTTGTGGGTTTAAGTCTAACTATCATTACAGTAATCATGGTAATGCATAAAATTGCACATTATCTTATTAGCGACTGATATCTATTGCTGTACTATTCACGGGTGCTTGAAGACAAAAATATCCCCATTCCCCATCTGATATAGACCCCTTGGTCTGTTCGATGTATGTTTTTCTCATTTATTATACATATTGTATATACCGTAGATGAGAAATATGTAATTTTATCATCAATTTGGAAATTGGCTCTAGCAAACCTATAACAAGAGGCCCAAAAGGTTCGAAAATGGTTATGTACTATGTACAAGTATATAAGCAAACGATAATGACTTTCATCAAAAGAGAACCATTTATTTGTTACTCTGTATTTTTTCAACTTCCAGAGAATCGAACCCAGGACACCTGTCAGTCTAATGACATGTGCAGCAATACACTACATTGTATACCCAAAGCACTACAAATGATAGCTAAAGATTATTGTGCACTAGCTTTAAAACAAATTTTTCCAAATTTTCAGCATATATGTCACATATTATGTGTATTAAGGAATTTTTTTGTCAATGTATCAATGTCCTTTCCTACTTAAATGAAATATTCGGGTTTTTTTTTTTATCAATAATTATTTTATGTTTCAGTGCAAGGATAAACCAAATAACAGTCTGGAGCATTAATATTTATATTTGTGCAGTAACTGTTTTATGTATGATATATACATTGTAAAAAAAAAAGTTTTCCATAATTTTTTTTTCAAAATCCTGAGTCAATCCCCAGGGGACGATATTTTAATTCAAACAATCGAGAAGAGAAAAACGACATATAAAAATCGGAATATTGAAGCAAAGTACAGTACTTGGCCATAAGTGAGTCATAATTTTATTTTTCCACTATATATTTCATTAGGAAACACATTTTTCTAAAATATTCTTGCAGTGTCATTTATTGTTTCTTTTTAATGTCTAAAACACCTTAAAATGCAGAATTTGTTGTAGTTTCTTCACATTATTTCAAAATAGTTTTATCTTTATGCATTACCATGAAATCACAGGTCAAGTGCAAAACAAAAATTTTTAGACTTCAATTTGTTAAGAAATCATAGTAATTTGAGGTTAGAAAATTTTGTCATGACAATATTTTATGATTTATTCTCAATAGTTTAAGTATCATTTTGTTTATCATTTAAGATAAGAAAATTTGAATAATTCTGCATGTTTCAGTGAAAAAATCATGAAAATTGAGCTAAAATTGACTTCGAAACAAGTTTTTATGAAAATAGGTTTTTCAATGAAATATATAGTTAATAGTGTAAAAATAAAATTATGACTCACTTATGGCCAGGTACTGTAGTTAGGTACCTGAATACTTTCAGAGCCGTACGTGGTTCGAAAATGGTTATGTACTAAGCCTATGTACAAACATGTAAGCAAACGATAATGACTTTCGACAAGAGAACCATTTATTTGTTACTCTGTATTTCTTCAACTTACAGAGACAAAAAACGACCCGATTGTCGAAGTCTTTTAGTTATCTTGTACTCGAGACAATGATTGAATGAATCTTCCATGCCATCTTTGTTGTACTTTCGGTTTGACGAATCATCTAAATTTAAACTCTCCTTCGATCATGCATCCCGGAAAATAACTGAACATCGTATATTTATGCCTTTTATTTGGAAATTAATGTACCTTTTTTTACAATAAGTGAAATCGACGTCAGGCATTTTTGATAGAATAAGCGTCGGGCGCGTTTGACGTAATAACGTCACAAACGAGAATAACGTCACATAACGTTATTTTACGTGGTATGGATCTTTACCTTAATACTGAATTCAATTGTTTAAATCTTTGATTAATTATGTCGATATAAAATCTTAAACTATAAATAGTTAGAAAAGTGTTTCCATGAGTTGGGAATGGATGGTACTTCACTGCAGTGTGTAAATCAGAATGACTTGTCAGGAAGGTTTTTTTTTTTATGAAACGCTAGCGGTGTGACTTACACCTGTTTCATATTGTTCTCATCAAATGTTTAATTGATTTATTGAAATTTTCTTAATTTTTCCTGCATTGTGCTTGATTCGCTATAATAAAAAATATTGCATGATAGTGAGGGAGACATGAAGATTTCTTCGCCCATGAAAAATCATATTCCCCTCTGGCGTTGCCCTCGGGAAATATGATTTTTCATGGGCGAAGAAATCTTCATGTCTTCCTCACTATCATGCAATAATTGTATATTGTTCTGAGAAAAGGTTCATTTATCCTTTATTCGTGATTAGTGTTACCTGAATACATTACTGTTGCATGATTATTTTAGTATCATTTTTTGAATATACGTATATAAAATTTTAAATGTGGGTTTTCAAGTTATCAAATTTCATAAAGCCTAGACCGAGGACGTTAAAGCTTCTTGTTGAAATATGATCATATACCAATTGTATTTTTTATCCCTTTTGATGTTTAAAAATAATACATGTGCCATATTACTGGTCGGATATGGACTTTTGGACTAAAATTTACCTCCCCCTAAACGATTTGTAGTCGAGAACAACTCTAAGTACAAATTCATGAAAATAGAACATTTAATTTAGCGACAACAGAAACTGTTATGGAAATAGAAAAGCATTTGTCTCTGTTTTACTAATAACGATAGTCTCTGCATAACGAATATTATTATAAAAATATTGCATGTAGTTGAGTGTGACATTGAAAATTTTCACCCCAAGAAAACTATCGTCAACCGAGGCGCAATATTTATTGTATTATACTGAATGTTTTATATACAAATACATATAACATTGAACCGTGCACGCATAAATTCTGCGCAGTCGCTAATTTTTGGAATATCACTCGTCTGAAAACAATGTTGACTGTTGCTACGCTGGAGGGCGTGGCTTCAATATTCAGCGGATAATAGTGTTTTTAACAAATGTTTCTCAACCAATCAGATTCAACTAATTTACAGGAAAGTATAATATAAAAATATATAAATATCATTTCTTACAATCATATTTTCTAGGTGCGTAGCCAATTTCGCCAAATAATGATATCTATTGCCCTAAAAATGCATTCAATACGTGAGTTAAGTAAAACAATAAAATGCTTTCTTTGTTTAAATATATTCAGTGGATGTAAATATTTTGTAATGATCGTATTTTGCAACAGGCTGTTATGGAATCGGGTATTTAATAAAGTCTACTTTATTTATTAAGAGTATAAATAAAATAATCATATTTAGGGTAATATGTAATAATGTTATCCCTCGAAACCCATTTTTGACCAAGGCGAAGCGGGGCAGATCCCCAAACCCCCACTACCCAACCCCTCCAGACCCGCGCATGTAAATATATATTTTATATATTAAGTTCTTTTGTATGATTCATAAGGAATCTTTATTTTTCTTAAGTTGCTCCTCTAAAACATTACATCATTTTCTCTTTTTACAGAGAAATCATTTTTTATCATTGAGTCAAATACTGACTGACGTTTTTCATACCAATTTTTAGTCCATTATTTATACACTGAATTGACGACGGATTTTCCCGTTATTTTCTGATCATGACAATAAGCACACGGCGGGTGTGACCGGTCAGCAGGGGATGCTCACTCCTCCATGGCACCTGATCCCACCTCTGATGTTTCGGGGGGGGGGTGTTTGCTCTGCTCTTGTTTCGTATTGTTTTATGGACTTTGAGATTGAATACTGTTCGTTATCTCCATATCCTTCTTGTAATTACTATAGTTATAGATTAACTTGTAGCATGTTTAGGTCCATTGTGGTTTAACAATTAACATATTTGCATTTCTTACTGCTTTTTCCTTAAAAATATTTAAGGTTCTCTGGTGGTTTTGAACTTTTATTCCCATCCTTCACTATTTGGACATTGATTGATTCGATGTTAGCTCTCAATTTTAGCAAAAAGAATGTGATGGGGCACTGTATGTTTATGTAAACAAAAAGTGGTCCATAAAGCTAAATATGACCTTCCTCTTTAAAGGAATACACTCTCTAACACACTTACAAATGTATAACGCATCCCCGCTTAGTATAACACATCCCCGCATAGAGTATATACTCTATTTTTAAAACAGATTTTTGAGTTGTTTTAATTTCATTGGATTCGTGGGTTTGTCTCATACCCGTAATCGGACTTTACACGAACTAATAAACTGCAGTTTCAGTCATATTTCCTTTTTTAGGGACAAGGTTGACAAAAAATGCGTCCCCACAGATTTGTGAAATTTAAGCAATGATTCCAAAGTTTCTAATGAATAAAAAAGGGGAAAAAAGTCATAAACCTCTTCATTGAATTATTTAGGTTGTATGAGGTAATGTACACTCTTTTTCCTGAAATAGAATTAAAAGCAAAGGTTACGAATAAATAATTCAGCCAAAAAAAACCCTGAAATGACAATGTCTGTTATTATAGGAATATACCCCGAGTATCTGAAAAAAAATCAAGGCATAAATATCAAAAGCATACGCTTGCACAATAAATATACATTAATTTAGTGATAGTGTAATGTAAAGTTTTAAAAAAATAGGTTGCCGAACAGGTTCCACATGACGTACTAAAGTGCACCCATTCTTTGATTTGGCCTGATTCTGACGTTAATCTGTCCTTCCTAGTATTCACGGAAAGGTATTTGCTGTAGAAAATACAACTTCTTTATTTATTTTCTCCATTTACAAAGAAATATTTTTTTTCATATAAAGCAACAAGACTTACTAGATAATTCTTAAATATTGGATTAATGAAGAAAAACTTAACTGTAGATTAAGGCGGGACAACTCTAAATACAAAACAAAACTTTTCAAACCGAAAGTTAATTTTGTGACGATAGAACTTTGGAACAGATTCATATCGAAATAAAAGAGGTAATGGTATTTGTTTTACACGTGTATTTATTACGATTATTATTAGAATATACTTTTTTGTGAAATGTATGAAATTGTTATCCATTGTTGAAAACATTAAATTGATTGAGGGAAGCCGCGATAGCTGCATGGGAATAACAATTTCACTGCTAGCCTAGAAAATTCATCGAAAACTTTTTCTTTTAGTTTGGATACACTGAATGTATTTATTTCGAATGAATTTCAAGAAAAATTCATGCTGAAAAATACTCGCATTTTCTTCAAAGTTATCAATCTATATACGGAGCATTTATGTATTTTCCATCGTTGTGAGAGCTGGGCGTGGCTTTGTACACTGTTGAGTAAAATGTGGCTTTAACCAAAATAAGAATGTTATACGAGGCTCCATTTTAGATATTAAATAGGTAATATTACCTATCAGTACAATTTTGTTGTTAGTTTGCCCTTATTGCCACATTTAAATCCACTCATAGTTTATGAATGATGCAAAAATATCCAAAGAGAGAAAAAAAGCAACGTGTATTAATATTTTTAATATAGTATTTAGCCTTTTTCTAGATTGGGTAGACAGAAGATTCGTTCTCTTTAGAAGATGGCCACCATTACAACTAAAGCACAAGACGTTATCCTGTGTCACCTCTGTGACAGGAGACCCGCCCTTCTTCACTGTAATCCCTGTCAGGTCAACTTATGTGAGGAATGCGTCGGAAAACACTATATGACGTCATCATCCTCTAATCACGAGATTGTCAAATACCGAGAGAGAAAATTCCACCTTTCATTTCCTAACTGTAAAGTCCATGGTGACGAAAAGTGTACTGTTAAGTGCCAGAATTGTGATGTAGAAGTTTGCCTTAAATGTCTCAGCGGAGCCCATAATGGTCACCGAATTATTGATATCAAGGACATTGTTGATGAAAAGAAAAAGCTTGTGGAGAAAGACTCAGCTTATCTAAAAGACGATATCATTCCAAAATTTGAAAAAGCAGATACAGAAATAGAATCCAAATTAGCGGCTTTAAATGCTAAATGTGACGAATTAGAACAATCAGTCACAGTGCATGGACAAAAATGGCAGCGATGCATTGAAGAAATCGTGGAGAAAAACAAGAAAGATATTGCAGAAATGAGAGGAAATGGCATTAAGAAATTAAATGAATACCAGAAGGAAATAAAAAATAATCTTGCTAGTCTTAATGAAATTGACGTGCAGAACAGGAAGATTTCTCAGTCCATGGACGTTAGTCACATCACAAAATATGAAAACAATATTCAGAAGTATCTAATGATTCCCTTAAAAATAGATCTGGAACTACCGGTTTTCGTTTCCAATGACATAGATAAAGATCAACTTTACCAAGATTTTGGAAAATTAATAGATCCCAAAATACAAACAGATCCGATCTGCGGATCAGATGTATCCAATAAGCTCCTAGACAAAGCTGTAGAGATTGCAGCCTTCCAAACTGGAGTAACACCGTTGAATAGGATTGCTTGTCTAAATACAGAGGAAGTGTGGGTAGCTGGTAGGAATATTAAAACAATCACTCGTATCAACATACAAGGTTCTGTACAGGAGACCGTTACCTCTACTTGTCCAAATCATCCTAGTGACATTTCAGTTTCAAAAGAAGGACATCTGCTGTACACTGATGCAGCAAATCAAGTAATTAATGACGTCCATCAGACAACAGCACAGATCACAGCACCACACGGATGGAAGCCAGGAGGACTGTGTTGTACAAAATCGGGTGACTTACTGGTAAGTATGCTCTCATCTAACGATGAACATTATAGAATTGTCCGTTATGAAGGTCAAGCAATAAAGCAGGAGATAGAGATGGACGACCAAGGTCAACCAATATATAAAGCAGGGAAAAGCTTGCTTTTTGTAACGGAAAACAACAACGGGGATATATGTGCCTCTGATTGCAATGCTCAGGATGTTGTGGTGGTCAATAAGGCAGGAAAACTACGATTCCGATATAAAGGACAGCTGACTATGAAGAATCAGCTTAAACCTACCAGTATTGTCACAGACTCCGTGTGTCGGATAATAGTAAAAGATAATGGGAATTCCTGTACCCACATCATTGATCAGGACGGTCACTTTCTCCGTAGCCTGGATTTCTGTGGAGCACTGAGTCTAGACACACTGGGACGACTGTGGGTGGGGGAGTTTGAGAGTGGAAATGTAAAGGTCATCAAATATAAGAAATAAATGATTTGATTTCTATTTGACAATCTTTTTGCAAATATTAAAGAATTTTTTTTAAAAATTAAAATGACATGTTTGAGTGTAGTATTTTACCAATCCTTATTTTATGGAAAAATATGCGAAATGGGAACTTAAATTATCTCATTAAAATACTTATGATGCAAAAACGTACTGAGATATAAATTTGATGGGAATAATTCAACTCTTTATTTATTCAAAAATCATGAAATCTGAATAATTCTAAAAAAGCAAGATTTGTTTGTGAAACACTATGCGCCCGGTGTCAACAAAGTTAAAAAAAAAACTTGTACAAAAAATAATTTTGCAACGTCACTAAAAAAAAGAGAGACGCCGATCAAATAAGAGTAAATTGGGTTCAAAGATTTGGATCGAGTTTAATTTGTGTTTGTTCTTAACCTTTTGTTTGTGTTGTCCATTCTGTAGCTTAGTGTTGAGCTAACTCCGCTAACAATCCATTAAGTCACCTGTAAGCGTCTACCGGTATTTCTTTTTGGAAAACTGTTCATTCTTTTTAAGAATGGACAGTTTTTTCCAAAAGAATAAATACTTAAACAAACTGAATGGAGTGTTACAGGTAAACCTTGGCATGTGCACAAGAGGGAAACAAAAACAAATACATTAAAGCAATATGAGGTGCATTTTTGAGAATTTTAATTTGCTGGTAAAATGTGTTTTTATGATTAATCTGTATGTAATCTAAACTCTTATGATCAATAAAGCCAAAATAAAGTTTAAAAATGTTTCAGAAGAAATATTTCTGTACAACCGAAGATACAGTATTATATAAGAAATCATTATTGTACAGGACGACAATAATTCAATTTTTGGCTAATCAAAGCGTATAAAAAAGTTCTTTCATAGCAAATAAGAACAACAGAAGTTTATAAATGTTCTACTTTTCTGTCATTGAAATATTTAATAAAAATTTTTCCGTGATTTCGAACATGCAGCTCATATCGCTTTAAGTAAAGGAGAAAGGCCTCAAACTGTCCTTTCTGTGAGAGAAAGAACTAATCGAGGGCTGTAAGCCTTTCTCCTACTGAAAACATGATTCTCTTTGTTCTGAATATTTCACAAAAAATGTGCAAAACACGTAGCACACATGCTATACATTCTTTGATTACAGAATGGACAGTTACAGGTAAGCTTGGGGTGCACAGCAATTTGTTGAATATCCATTGTGTTTCAAGATGCAAATAACAAAAGGTATTTGTCTAAGGAAAGGACAGTTACAGTAACAGCTGTAGAACTGTAGCTCTCCGAAAAAAATATATATTGACAGACTGGAGAGCTACAGTGCCACCCATTGAAAAAAAACTGTATACTTATTATAAAATATCTACCCTCAAGATAAATCTGAATGGAATCGCGTTCAGTACGACTTAAATGCTGAAATTCTTGAGGGTCTAGAAAAACTGGAGATAAGAGCTCTCAAAAAAAAGGAAAGTGAATCAGTGTTAATAATAGGCGTATTGTGGGAAAAAAAAATGAAAACGCGCCAGAAATACATTCGTATTTACAACTCATCTCCTGCATGGTGGAAGACAGTAAACGAGTATCAGTCCAGACACATTGCCGACAACTCTGACGATGAGAAGAAAATTAGGAGCGCTGAAAACCGAGCCCTTAAGCAACAAAGGCAAGCTCAGAACATGTGTTTTAAAACTTCATGTACCATTTACATGGTTTTGAGTGAATAAATTGTATTGAATTGAATTGAAAACGTATGGCTCCTACAGAGCTTCTTATACGGCAGCAGCGGCAGGCTCGGACGCCTAGCTTACCTCTGGTTATCTTCTACTGCTGCATCTCAGCCATTTACATATCAGCAGCAGCCCTTTCGTAGCAAATCGGCAACGCGTTAACCACAGCCCAGCGACGTTTGCTTCAAAAATAATTTATATTACGTTGAAATTTTATTTTAATATAAATGAGATAAAGAAATTATTTTTTAAAAAACCGTTTTAAGTCTAGATTAAATCTACAAAATACACCCTGCATCTATTAAAAGATATTTATATATTCTTGATAGAAATGGAAAAGAATTGACTAGATATTCGGAAACACAGGCACCAAACTCCCTAGAATTTTTGACCCCCTAGTCTTTATGATATACTAGGGGGTCAAAAATTCAAGCAAGTTTGGTGCCTGTGTTCGGAAAAGATAATGATGAAATTTGTACCTTTCCCGATCCAAATAAATATGATCCCGATCGGAAAATATTCATATGGAAATATATCAGAAATTTTTTTTTAAAATATTGGATTTCTATTCTTGTCTGTTCACAAGAATTCGATTTATAACCAATAAAGCTTTTGCACGTCATTATTGAGAATGCATGTGCTATAATGCAAGTGCTGTACATATACGTATTTCAACATGGACTGTGTATCATTGTAATACTGTATGTCCAAACTACAATATTAAACTATTGAGATTTATTGGGGTATAATTGAGAGAGTTGGTTGCTTGGTTTATGACACTGTCATTTTTCATTGTTTTATTTATTGTATTGTTCATATTTCATGCTGTATCTTCTCTTTAATGTTGATTAATAAACGATCGAATTGAATTGAAATGCAATACATGTATTATCAATAGGGCATCAGCTTGAATGTCAATAAGCCTAATTCAGAGATTGTTTAATTGATTGAAATTATAAATCTTAATACAATTGATAAAATTTTCACAAATCTCTTATTCATATTTCGATGATTATGATATGATTTCGAAATTGTTAAATATTTCACAGAAATACGCTGTGGGGTTGAGGGCTCCGATCCGTCACTTTCTCTGCGTAAAGTTTTTTAATTAGAGGAAAAATAATTTCTTCAGATACTGGTTGCCTCTTCCCCCCCCACCTTTCAAAACTGTTACTACGAGCTTGTTCAAATCACTTGCCAACAGCTTTTGCATATATGGCTTTTACTCAAATAAAAATTACTTTTTAATTCCAATTTTTCGCTGATCATACTAAAATACTGGGGCTAATTGTAACAGGGACCCTTACATATGTTGCACAAACGCTCCACAACTCACTTTTGGTGCAATATTCCATGTAAGCTTCATAAAAGAAGACAAACTCTATGCATTTTAGTCTTTTACAACGTTTTCCCAGAAGTATATCAAGTATATTTAAATTTATTTTAGCATTGCACGCGTGTGCATATGAATGCATGTGCGTAGTGATCATCTTGTCTACACTATCAATATAATTTGATATACTGAATATGAAGGATTTAATCCAAAAGTGTAAAAAAAAATGCGCTCATTTAAGTGTATTTTTAATTTTACTCATGCACGTGCATGTATGTGCATGATGACCATACCGTCTTGTAGAAGTCCATTATATCAATCTATGTTTTAAATCCCATCCTGTTTGATTCAAAAGTAAGGGAGTTATAGCCATTTGAAATTTAAACCAAGCAGACTGCAGCACACGTGCTTGCGAGTGTTTAAATGATAATTGTTTTATATCACAATGTAGGTTATCCTAATGCATGACAATGTTTTAAATTTCAGAGCAATTCATAAAAAAAACAGAAAAAATATTGAGATTTTTGTTTTTGTGTCAGCCAATCTGAGCGAAGCGCACGTGCATGCGCGTGAGTTCGTGCTAATTTGACAGTGTCATATTATCAACAGTGTTAATATATCCTTATATAATAAGTTTCAAAAGCATTTCATCAAAAGATGTAATACTTATAGCTATATTAAGTATATCAGTCATTTCACTCAATTCATGCGCACACTAGTAGAAAATGGAATGCACAAATTCACAACCGCACACATTTTGATGCTTGATCGATGTAGGAGTTTAAAATTTCGGTTTTTTAAACATTATTTCTTAAAGGTCTATCAAGGCCTTTTTATGAAAAATCAGACAATATATACAGGGCTATGGATAATGGATTTAAATCCAAGACGTGTAACACATACATTTCTTCATTTAATGATTAAAACAATATGCTCTTTGCATTCAAATAGAAACACGCCTTTCCAGAACATATTGCTTTTAAGCTAATTAAAATTAAATATTTGATGCAATCCAACTAGATACCTATAAATTAATGATGGACCAAAAATCTATTTTTTTTATAAAATTGTTTTCATTAAGTAATAAATTTGTTTTAGAATGTAATGGATAGAACTTACGTAAGATGGCCACAAGCACAATAAAGCACAAGAAGTCATCTTATGTCACCTGTGTGACAGAAGACCTACCGTCTTCCACTGTAACCCCTGCCAAGTCAACTTGTGTGAAGAATGCGTCGGAAAACACTATAGGAAGGCAACAACCCCTATGCATGAGATCGTCAAATACCTAGATAGAAAATCACCCAATTCATTTCCCAAACTGCAAAACCCATCATGGTCAAATTTGTACTATTAAATGTCAGAAATGTGATTTAGAAGTTTGCCTAAAGTGTCTTATCAGAACCCATAATGGCCATAGAATTATTGAAATTAAGAACATTGTTGATGAAAAGAAAAAAAAACTTTTAGAAAAAGATACAGCTTTTCTTAAAGAAAATCACATTCCGAAATTCGAAAAAGCAAATTCCAAAGTAGACTTCAAATTAGCGGAATTTAATGCCAGATGTGACGAATTAGAACAATCAGTCACAGAGCATGGGGAAAAGTGGCACCAATTCATCGAAAAAATTGTGGAGAAAAATAATGAAGATATTGCCAAAATGAGAGAAAATGGCATCAGAAGATTAAAGGAATACCAAAGGGAAATTAGAAAATTACTTGCAAGTATACACGAAATTATTCTGCAAAACAACATGATTGCTGAATCTATGAACGTAAGAGATATAACAGAATATGAAAGCAACATTCAGAAGTATTTAAGGATATCCTTAGATATAGAACTGGAATTACCAACTTTCGTTTCCAAGGACATAGATGAAAGTAAAATGTACAAAAAATTTGGAAAATTAAAAGAACTTAAAATTCAAGGAGATCCGATTCACACGTCAGAATCAGCTAATGATCTCCTAGATAATCCCTATCAAATTGCAACCTTCTCAACAGGAATCACAGAATTGATGAGGATAGCATGTCAAGATACAGACAATGCATGGGTAACTAAGAAGAACAAACCTACCATCACTCGTGTCAACATACAGGGCTTTGTGAAAGAGACCGTAACCGCTACTTTTTGGGATCATCCAACTGACAATTCAATCTCGAAAGAGGAACATCTGCTGTACAGTGATAAACTTAACAGAGTAGTTAAGGATAATCAAAAGACAAAACCGAGGACCACAGCACCACAGGGATGGGTTCCACTTGGACACAATCAGGTGATTTGCTAGTAAGTATGCGTACACATGATGAAAAACACTGTAAAATTGTCCGTTACGAAGGTCAAACAATACAGCAGGAGATAGAGAAGGACGACGAAGGTAAACCGCTATATAAGGATGGAAAAATATGCTCTTTGTGACTGAAAACAAGAACGGGGATATATGTGCCTCTGATTGCAATGCTGGGGTAGTCGTTGTTGTGAACAAGGCAGGAAATCTACGATTCCGATTTAAAGGACAACACACGATGAGGAAGCAGTTTGATCCTGTTTCTATCGTTACAGACTCCGCACGTCGTATCCTGGTGGAAGATTTCGGAAATACGTGTATCCATATTATTGATCAATTCGGAGAATTTCTCTGTAGTCTGGATTTCTGTGGAGCAATGAGTTAGATACAATGGATCGACTGTGGGTAGGAGAGTTTAATCGTGGAAAAGTTACAGTCGTTAAATACAGAGGATATACATTTCGAAGGAGTATCACTATAGATTATTATTCATTTATACATCAAACGATTACAGTTGTAAACTAGTAATAATAAGAATGAAACACATTTTACATCATGTGAATATCATAAAAACGTTTTGAATGGACATTGAAATTGATATTTTCTCAAATTGATGTATAATATCATGACACATGTTGCTATAGCATTTTACACGGAAATATATAAAAAAAAATTGATCTGGAAACTATTGAAATTAGGAATTTCGTGACCTATGGATTGACACATTCTTTCACTTTCA